GTGATTTGTGTGAGTACGTGTGCCATGTGATGTGAGTATCAGTCACGTGGAGGCAGTGCTTAAAAGCCTGAATTTTGCCTGAAACTCTCAGACTGAAGAAGTCTCTTGGAGGAGAGACGAAACGTTTCATTAGAGAAGAACCCGTCCAGAAGACCTATACAATTTTTTTCTTTTTGATTTTTTACCTGGATTAATGAGATGCATCAGGACATGTGTTTCTGTTGCAAATTCAGATGCTAAACAGAACAGTGAATAAATTTACTGATGATGGCAAACATCAGCTTCTAATTCACATTTAGCATGTTAGCATTTTGCTCATAAACTCACCCAAGAACAATCCCAACAAACATGTTCGCAGTTCTTAAACATTAGGCTACATGATGTAAACCTTCAAATCCCATTTAATTCACTTTTTATTGTTAATTTTCAGGTTACATGTTTCTGACTGTCTTACTTTATCAAGGATGCTAATTCTTGAGTATAAGCTTGTACAGGAAATACATGCTAAAGTGGACAAAATAAGGAAGAAAGTGAAAGTTACTCATCAAACACTGGAGTTTTGGTATAATGTACCCTCTGCAGAGTAAAAAAAACATCACAACATTCAAAGCTTAAAATAAATCGCAGAAAGTTTGAAGTTTATGTGACTGAATGGAAATTTTAATACAGTATTTGAAAATTTTCAGGTTAAGTATTCTGGTTTTTGAAGGTTTTTATTTTAGAGTTTAATGATGTCACACACTGTCTTGCCTAAATTTTCAAAATCTTTCCAAAATAAAAGCCAGAACAGAATTTCATGTGTTACACTGTTGTCAGGGTTTTTGAAAAACAGGAGTTATGGAAGCACTTTCTGATATAAATTTGAGAAAACACTACTCAACTTATTGAAGTTTATCCTCTATAAAAATTAAATTGATAAACTAATATTCAATAAATCTTATGAGACTGCATCTTGAAGCTTTTAGACCACTCAGGGGGGACTAGATTTTATCAGGTTAATTTTCAAATTGTTATAAAGTTATGTTTTTGACTCCTACTTGCCTCAAAACTATGTTAGTTTTTATGTTTATGAGGCTCTGCTAATCCTAAATAGGAGGGAAATAAAAAATGCACACTAAGCAAAAAAAGGGGGACACAACAGAATGAAACTGTGTGTAGGCACCAATTTTTAAAGGGGTGTTTTCCTTCCAGTCAGCTGATGGAGCAGATGAAAATCATGGTTCTTGGATCAGATCCTGCCACCAGCTCCGGTCCATTCTGGGCTCCCAGCGTCATTGATTGTGTTTTCAGTTTCGCGTCATGTTAAAACAGTTGTATTTGTTTGTTTTATGCAGGAAAGCTCCATCTTTTGTGAAATGTGCATCTCCCTGCCTGTTTCCCTGTCTTTTGTGGCATCGTGGCCCAAGAGCACAGAGGTTGTTTTGTTGCTGTCTGCGTGACGTTTCTGTGCTCATTGTGTGAAATACAGTATGTCCCCTGGTCTGCATTTAAAGATTTTAAAGGTCATTGTTCTGAAGAAAAAGGTTCTGGATGTTCATTGTTCGGACTCAGTACTGTGAGTCAGGGACAGTAGATAAACACAGTGAAAACATATTTTAATTTAAACATAAGAAATAAACTGCAGCTGCTGTCATTCATAATCGAACAAGATTCAGATATAAGTGTGAGAATTGTTGAAAACCTTGGGTTTGAGTAAAAGAGCTTTGTTAAACATTTTTTAAAAATTCAAACTTATTGAAATCTTGAGGAAACTCATCATAATTATTGGATATTTACAGCAATAACAGGCAACTAATTTTCAGTAATTTTTTTGATTTTTTTTCCCTCCCAAAGAGCCAGAGAGATTGTAAAAATTGTTTCAAAACAGACAGAATGAGTTTCGTTGGCGAAGGTTCATGAAAATTAGATTTTTAGGAAATCTTAACATAAATCATTACATTAAACCAGTTGTCTGGGGCCACGTGTGACTCTTTAGCACCTCTGACCAACAAAGCTGAGTACAGGAAATGGTACTTTTATGTTTGCTTAAGTTTTGACTAATTGAGTTTAAAATACAATAATCAGTATTCTTGTTGAGTTTATGATATGTTAGCTAAGCTCATTCTCTTGGTTTATTTAGTTTTCGGAAACGTGGTCGTTCTGAAAAATGTAGAAAATAGTTTTGTGCATCTATTAGACATGATTCATTTCATGGTATAAAAATATGACATTGTTATTCTTATAATAAAGAGATTTTGGAATTATGGATCTGGTTTTAAGAAAAACCTTCAGATTGTAGCCCTTTTATAAACCTTTAAGTCAGGGGTGTCAGTCATTTTCACTGAGAGCCATGAGCATTATAGTTGTGATAAACTGAGACATGTCATCTTTTACTTTGACTAAACATGAAGTTTTTGTCTCCCTCTGACTGACCACTGCTAACAAACAATGAGCTCTACCTGGTACTTCCTGCATAGAAACAGTGTTTTAACACGTCCTCTTAAAAACACCGAAAAACTGACTGAACGTGAAAAAAACGATCCACAAACTTCCCACTTTCCAACAGGGAATTTCCACATGGAGTGTTCCAGTTTAAATTTACGACTTGTGGGGAAGTCCCACTTCCCAATACAACTGGACCACAGCAAAAGTAGCTGGGGAAAATTTAGCAAAAGTGGGTTTTTACACAGTAAATTTTGCCGGCTACTTATGAATCCTGTTAGCCTGGCCCTTGCCTTCTTATGCAGCTCCGCTCAATTCTGGTTTCCCTTCACTGCTCCATCTGGGACTTCTCCCAATGAGATGGATTTCACTGGCAGATTTTTAGCCGGGCCAATCAGAGAACGAAACATTAATTTTCTGCGCAGTGTCTGCTTGTAGTTTATTTCACCTGGGCCAATCAGCAAACAGAAGGAGGAGTTTTGAATGATGTTGATGTTCTGCGCAGTGTCTGCTAGTTAGTTTAGCATACGGCAGTGGAGGAAGTGAATGAAGCCAGTCCGTGTTGATAAGGCTTCCAATTTAAAACAAATTTGTCTGACAAAGCAGCAGCTCTCATTTACAGTCGTCTCGTTCGGCTCGGTATATTTCTCCTCTCAGTAGGGTTGTTTACAGCACACGCGATTTCCGGTTAGCTTCTTAGCTTAGCCTCCATCACAGCGACATACGTCGCAGCCAACTGATCCAATCATTTTAAACTTCAGCAGAGGCCACGCCTCCTGCAAGAAATGCTTCTCTATGCATCAAGTCCAGACCCTTGTACGAAACAAAGCGAAGGACAGGGTCTGGTTTAAACCAGGCTAGAATCCTGTGCACCTCCACCTAGTGTTGGGATCGTGTCATTTTTGCAGGTAAACATGCATTATGGGAAATGTAGTTTATGGACATCAGTGCTTCCCCAAAGGGAATTGGTCTTATGGTGGGGAAGGAAATTGCGCAAATGACTCTGTGTCAGCGTCGTTGATGCAAAATATATACTACAGTTTTGTCCAGTTTTTTTTAATTTTTGAAAACAAGAGAGGTGGAGGAACGGCTGCAGAAATAGCTCTTGGTGTGATCTGGTGTCATTTTAAAATGGCTAAATTGACTGCATGCCATGACATTCTGTAGGGCAGCCCCCCTTGGATAATGTTAGGGGAAATATTGGATGTTAATATATATTTAAAGTTCTCACGGACCACATAAAATGCTGTGGCGGGTCACATTTGGCCCATGGGCCTTGAGTTTGACATTTATGGTTTAAATTAATTACATGCAATAAAAATGTATCTTTTAACTTAAAGGTACTTATTGATCAGTATGAAATCTAGCATAAATAAATGTTCTTTTTCATTTTATCAAAAGGCGCAGTTTGAAACAGTTTACTCCAGTAGATATTCTGAAATACACACTCCGTGTAAACAAAGCACTTGAGTCCAAAGAAACAAAGCAGAACAGAGAAAGAATTGTCAGGAAAAAAATAACAGGGTGGGCTGATAAATACACCATAATTAGACATCACCATCCCAATCCATTGTTGACCTTTCAGTCACTTTGGCTCCATAGGCAAGGGCGTAATCCCCATCTTAAAAGTGGGGGAACACATTTTTTTAAAGGTCTTTTTTWTCTGCTTCGGCTGAAAAAAGTGTGTGTGTGTGTGGGGGGGGCATGTCCCACCCTGTGCCTATGGCGGTTATGCCCATGGCCGTAGGTAAACTAATACACACAACATTTATCTTCCAATCACAAATTTTGCTTAAATCAACACCTTTATTTAACTAAATAACCCCCTTTTCTATGGATGCCCAGGCAAAGATGTCATAAAATAATAATCAAATCAAAACAAGTAATAAAATAAGTTATACCAGACATATTGTACTCATATAAAAGGTTTTTTATTTTAATGCGAGGGTAGCTAAAGCATACAAATGATGCCTAAAAATGTAATTCAAAAAACAAACAATTTTTTTTCACGACACAATAATAAAAAATGTGGTCATTTTGTTAATGATTTGATCATGTTTGAACAGGTTTTTGTGATATTGCATGGTGTAGGCTACTTTTTTAATTTTAAGGGTAAAGTATGACTCTAAAAGTAAATGTCAGATCCACATAATTTACATTTTTTAAATTCTATCAGTTTATAACAACAAATTATCAATATATTTTAATTGAATTCACACAGACTCCACCYATCTGACATGCTGGTTTGATGTGAACTGTCCTTGACATGGTAAAACTGGCACAGATAAAAAGAACAAGGTTTTATTATTATCTTCCTACAGTGGGGGCTGCATCTGCAGGGACAGATCAGTCTGGTTCTTTACAGCAGGGTGAGGGAAAAAAAAAACTCAACAAAACCCGACATGTTTTCTGGAGCTCGCCTGTACCCGTTGTTTCTGGTCCCTTTGTGTTTTTATTCAGGCTGCKCCGTTTTCTCATCCTACATCACCCACATCCACAAAGAGCAGGRCCTCGCTCGCGCTCTTTTGGCCTGCCTCCACTTTTCCCTCTCAAGCCTTCTCCATCTAGTGGCGCACAAAGAGCGCGCAGCCAATCGGAGAGCGCACTCTGCCGAGTCGCGGCCAATGGGCGCCGCCCTTTTATTTACACAGAGACCGGCTCGGCCAATCAGKAGTCCCCGGGGCGCATGAGCGTGACCCCGCCCCTTCGACCAATGGCTGAGGGCGGCTCGGAGTTTTGGGGGAGTGCATATAATCAACACATTAAGGTGCTCCTCAGATATTCATCCGGTCAGTGTTTCGAGGTGTAGCTCAAATACACCTCTTCGTCCTGGTTTTCCTCTCCAAGCTCGGTGGAGGACAGTTGGTAAAAATGCCGAAGAGAAAGGTGAGTTTTTTTGCCTTCCGTCCGGCGCACTTCACTGTAGTTTATTTATTTATTTATTTATTTATTTATTTTGAAGAGCTGGAGGTTTGGACGAAAATAGCGGTGGCACGATATTATGTTTGTGGCGACGTCGAGGCAGGTGAGGCAAAGTTTTAGGGAGGGTTTTTCCTTTCCCMCCAGCTGGATTATACCCATTATTAAATTAATCCTCATGTTTTTTTTCCTGAATCGTGTTGCATTTATCTRGCACCGACTGCTGAATGTCAAAGGATGGACGTCCGTGCAGGACAAACACTGTAAAAAAAAAATAGCGCTTTCTTTATAATTCAACCGACTGAGCAAACCCGTCATTTAAAGCAAGGGAAATGAAGACAGAAAGAGAATGGGGGGCTTTCAAAGAGGCCCTAAGTCTTTTATAAACGTCGAGCTGCGTCGCTTTTGTGTTCCGCTGCGTGCATGGAAACCGGCTTTTCGACCACCTAAAATCTGCTTTTGTCTGCGTAGATTTTCCTTTGGGGGGCAGAGAATGGTGGTGGGGGGCCTCAGGGGGGCGGAGGGGGTCGCACACATGCAATCTTTTCCAACCTGCACGTTAAAACCAACATGTCCCCTCCCTCSATGGAGGAGGTGGGCTCTCCTGTGCACCCACCTACCTGCATCCGGTCGCAAAAAGCCCGCCTATTTGTGTAATTTGATTTTTTTTTTTTTCATTTTAGAGTCACAGCCAATCAGCTGTAGCAAACTCAAAAATGGGCTGCACCAAATGATTGTTTTGATAGTTGACTAATCTGTTGATTTTTTTTTAAATTAATATATTAGTTAATTAGTCAGTGCACCTTCTGTTCCAGCTCCAGCACACACCTGAGGTTGTCACCCTGTTATCCAGTGAACAGAGGAGCCCAAAGTGGGGCCCGCGGGCCAAATTTGGCCCGCCAAGCCATTTGATTTGGCCCACCAACAGTTGCCAAAGTTACAAGCTTGTAACCTGTTATCCTATGTAGAAACACAATATTTCCATTGGTCAAACGACTATATAAAAGGGTTGTAGTGAAGGTAGTTTTCAGTCATGTAATGACATATCTTTGATTTATTAGGATTAAACATGAAACRTGAAATGACAACAAGAAATATTTAGATCAGATTTAACCCCACATGTAGATTAGCACACTTTATAAGGCCACAAAAACTCATATTTTATCAATTTATGAAATGTCCCATGAGCTTTTGCTACTTGAGCGTATGGCAGACTTTCTCCAAGTGCACAGACTAAAACAAAGGAGGGCCATTGCACTGCTTAATCATTAAAAATAAAGGACTTAAAAAAGTATTTGTATTTCATGTATTATATTACTACATTTGGCCCGCAGCCATGAATAGATTTTCATTTTGGCCCTCTCGGGAAATGGGCACCCCTGCCATAGAAAATTAAAATAATAACACACAAAACTTAAGCTTAATAGTTTTATCACATGCATTTCTATAATTAATGTTTGATCATTACAAAAATTAAATTAAATACAAATTAAACAGCAAGTTGTCTTTTACACATAGACCTAACGTGCAATGAACTCAAAATAGCCACCTGTCCAGCACCAGGGGCTGTTAACCTGCCCTGCTGGCTGTAGCTGTAGCTTTGCAAGTCTAAAAAAAAAACAACCTAAAGAATAACTTTAAAGTGACATTTAGGTGTGTAAAATGAAAACAAAATAGTTTGAAATCTTGCTGGATCAGGCAGTCCAAACGATCAAATAAGGCCATCAAAAAATGGGAGAAGACAAGATAGGATGGATAATTAATATAATTCAACGATTTAATACGATGACACTTAATTAGCTAACATTAGCATAACCGATATCTCTGCTTCTAATTATTAATATAATTCAACGATTTAATACGATGACACTTAATTAGCTAACATTAGCATAACCGATATCTCTGCTTATAAGTAACGTTGTTTTATAATCGACAAAAATTACAGACATTTGGCTGAAGTGATCATCACTAAAAAGAAAATATATGAGGCATCAATCTGACGAACATAATCACAGCTCCAACGTGTTAATACAATAATAACATTTTCTGTCCACTAATAATCGTCATCAGTCATTTCGGCTAATCGGTGCAGCACTAATCTGTTTTACTTATATTGTGCAAAAAATTTGGGGTGGTAGTAGCTGAGAGTTAGGGGTGTCCCAATACCATTTTCTTAAAAATCGATTATGAAGACTTCGGTTTGGGTACTCACTACGGTTGGGCAATGTTGGCAAAAAAATTAATCACGATTAATTGTGGTGTTTAGCCGATAACGATTAATTTGACGATTAATCCCCTGGAGTCCCTGGACACCCTTATGTCCTAGTAACATGACCAATTTAATGGGAAATATTTACTCTTTGTAAAAATCTGTTCCAGCTTGTGTCAAAATTACAGACTTCACGTTATACATCAATTAGTTAGAACCTAAACTTTATATTGGAAAAAAAACATTTATTTTATTTAGAACCTGGTATTAAATTGGATACATTACATACCTGCTGGTTTTAAAAACGACAGCAGTCTGACCGCTCACGTCGTATTTCGTCTGGCGTTTACATCAGTGAGGCAAGAGTAACCAGATCGATCCAAGTAATAATGATGATGCTGACATTGAGTCATGAAGTTCTAATCTTGTAACTCCGCATGTCTTCAGCTACAAAACAGAAGTGCAGTTGCTTCTTATTTTTTAATTTAATTTTCCATGTCCTGGATGACTCAGCCTGGTCCTTGCCTTCCCACACAGTTCTGCACAATTCCAGTTTCCCTTCACTGCTCCGTCTGGGATTTGTCCCATAGACAAGATTAGAACATATATTTTAGTAGTTTAATAACTGCCCAATCAATATTCACGGTGCAGTTATTCTACAATAACTGGGGTTTCTTTAACTTTGCCTGTGAGCACAATAGGGCTGCCACAAAC